ATCAGATTATTGAACAATAAGTAAAAAAACAATAATAATTTATCTTTACAGTCATAATTAGAAATGTCTATATTGAGCACATATTAATTTTATTAAACTGTTAAATGTATCTGTACAAAATTATAAACATTGCATTATAACCTCTTCCCAACACTATGTATCAAATATGTTTGACATATAAATATTGAAATAAAATTTTAGGTTCTCAAGTCAACATATATGAAAACATCAGAGTCTATGAATTATTATTTAGTTATATCTATGAGTTAAAATGTTTATTGTTGTCATTACTCTTAATTTATTATATGAGACTAAAACGGAGAAAAACACATAAAAGATGGCAAAATAGGAAATAGCTCGTGAGACCAATTAATCAACAGAGAAAACAACAATATTCTTCCACTGTTCGTCAATTGGACACGCTAAATATAGAGGCTGTAATGGGGTGTATATCAGTTGGACACGGGGCAATTGGACACAGTCCAATCACAAGTCGCTGTTCCAAGGGACCCTACAAATGTCTCTAATCATACGGTGCTGTGATTGGCTGTGTCCAAATGCACCGTGTCCAAGTGCACCGCTCCATCTGTAATGTATTAACAATAACTAGACACACTTCTTTCATTAACTGTCTAAGAGTTGACTGCCCAACTCGAAAATAAAATGCAATACTTGCTATTGTATTCCCTGTTGCAAGATATCTGACAAATGTATCACAATTTTTGCTAAATAGTTTATAATTTCGTAAAACATTTTTTTCTAACAATGATTTCTAAACATAACTAAAAATTTAAAAAGTAGTTAAACCAATTATTTACTAATAAACTATATTTACCTTAATATTATTATTAACCTTTGTTCCGGAGACAGAGCTGTCTTAGTTTTTTTACCAAATAAGATCTTAGCATGGTTGATAACTTGTTAAAATGTTAAACATTCATCCTGACATTTGACAAACATGTCTTCACCAGTTTTTAATTCTTGAAACAGATTTTCATTCCTCTTGCTATTTTCTCTGTTGATTAATTGGTCTCACGAGTCATCTTCTATTTTGCCATTTTTTGTGTGTTTTTCTCCGTTTTAGTCTCATATAATAAATTAAGAGTAATGACAACAATAAACATTTTAACATAGACTTTAATGTTTCCATATTTGTTGACTTGAAAACCTAAAATTTTATTTCAATATTTATATGTCAAACATATTCTATACATAGTGTTGGGAAGAGGTTATAGCGCAAAGTTTATAATTTTGTACAGGTACATTTAACAAAAATATAATAAAATTCAATAAAATTAATATGTGCTCAATATAGACATTTCTAATTATGGCTGTAAAGTTAAATTATTATTGTTTCTTTACTTATTGTTCAATAATCTGATTTAATTACCTTTGTCACAGAATCTCCATGTTCCTTCGTAATGTAACGTAACGTAAAATTTTCGTGCGTTGCCGTACGTTCAGCTTACGTCCACGTAACGTAAGATTGTCACGTAAGGGTACGTTCAGATTCCCTACCCGGGTGGACTCTAATACTAGAAGTGCTATAGTATATGTAACATATACTATAGTGTTTCTAGTAATAGAGTGCATCCGGGTAGGGAATCTGAACGCACCCTAAGGTGGTATAAGGAGCTACGGCAATATTCGTGCGCTGGCCCTAATGGTTCCTGTACACAGGACGCGGTAATGCTTGCTGCGCGGCGGAAGTCCGCGCGACAGCCAATCAATATGTTGTTTTTCCGTAAGAGCTAGAAGGTTATTACAGAAAGCAACATATTGATTGGAGTGCAGGAACCATAAGGAGTGAGTTAGATCACTATACATATAAAGTCACTATATATATAAGTCACTAGATATGTAAAGTACCGCCACTGAAATAGGGCGTATCTCGTTTGACCACGGTGCAATTGGACGCGGTTCGATTGGACACGCTTGATTAGACACCGTTCGTATGGACACCGTGTGATTGGACACCACAAAATTGGCATACTGCTCGATTGGATACTGCATAACTGGACACCATAAAATTGACAGATTGCTCAATTGGACACCACACGATTAGACATCGCATAATTGGTACACTGCACAATTGGATATGGTAAAATTGATACACTGCTCCATTGAACACGCGCAATTGGACACCGTGCAATTGAACACCGCTCAAGTGGACATCGTGCGATTAGACACCGCGCATTTGGACACTACAAATTGTGCACATTGCACAATTGGACACCACACGATTCAAATTTATTGACTATCGCGACGTTCCTTATCGACTGCGTATTAAAATTATAAATAAACGAAGTTTCGTAAATATGGTATTGTTTCTTCATTCGCTTACGATAGCGATTCGGAGCGAGTGAGATCTGAGAGTCAATTCTGTATCTCGAAACGAAGTGAAAATTACAAAAGTGAGCACATTCACTAGGCACTGACCAATGAAATTACGAATATTCTAGTATATTTGCTCACTTTTGTAATTTTCACTTCGTTTCGAGATACAGAATCGACTCTCTGGACGGGAGAGTCCCAGATGCGCACATTGACAAACGGACACAGCCAACCACAACGCCATATGCCTAAAGATATTCTAGAGACTCTATAAACAACGACATATGATTGGATGTGTCCATTTATCAATGTGCGCATCTGGAACTCACTCAATCTGGACCAAAACATAGTAGTATTCCTCACAGCGCATTAATATTGCCACAAGTTTACAGCAACGTTAAATTGTAAGATGGTAACATTACGCAGAGGTTAATAAAACCTGTCACTGATCTTCTAATAACATGAAAATATTCATCCATGCTCATTCCATTAACATTATAGCAACCTTATACGGAACGTTATATTAAAGTTAATATAATATGTCTAGAAACTTTCAATATTTTTAATAAGAAATTCTTGATAAAGAAATATTATTTATATTCAGCTTAGTCAATTTATATTAATTTTAAATAAAGTTTAACTCTTTTATTTGATTTCTCACTATTTTATATTTTTTACATCTCAAAATTTCCTCAGTACTAGTCGGATGCGAACTCGAGACCTCAGATACCTCTAAGGTTCCTAGTCTATCATCTTGGCTGCTGCGCTATTTCTTCAACTGATACTAAAAGTTTTTTATTATCCCCATATGCAGCCGAAGCAGTAATTATAATTGTATTATAATATTATTTAATACAATTACGAAAATAAACTATGTAGTCCAAATATTTCATATAATAAAAGAAAAGTCAGAGATATACATAAAACTAAAGCATTTGAAGCGGCTATTGAATACAATATAGACCGGTATTCATAGTCAGATTTTATATTTAAGATTGCTTAAGATATTGAAGATAAACTTAAGCGGTCTTAAATATAAGATCCGACTATGAATATCGGCCATAGAGTTAATTTTATTATTAATATTTTAATTTAATTTGGTTATATTTACTTTCTTAATAAAAAAATTTTTATATATGAAAAAAGTTGTATATACAATTAAGTGATTATTAACAAAATATATTTCAATTGTGTAGTATTTTTAAGATACACAGAAAGTGAAATAATTACACGTAAGTTTGCTGAAATATTAAAGATTATATTAACTTTATGACAATATTGGTTGCTTCCCAACAAGAGATATAAGTCGACACAAACATCATTCTATCTTTGTTCGACATTTAGTGAATAACAAAGATAGGATGGTACTTGTGTCAACTTGTGTCTCTTGTTGGAAAGCAACCATTGGGTGCTAGAATTATTTTTCAACTATGCTTATATTTTAGTATTTTTTAATAATAAATAATAAAATCTAAATAATAAAAAGGATATTGGGTGTTTACGACAATTAGAGTTAGGGTGGAGTCCCATAGCATATATTTGTCGCGTACCGCGTAAGCGCGTAACCAATGAATTGCAACGTATAGTATTTCTGTTGGAACTTCTAAAAGAATAGAAGATGTGATTGGTTACGCGGTTACGCGTTCGTAAATACGTGCCATAGGACTCCACCCTTATGGC